CCCCCTCCTTACGTTTTCAAAGGCCCCATTCTGTACCCCAATGGTTGAACCTGTACGATATCTCCCAATCGACACTCGGAGTTCTCATCATGTGCCCATATCTACGATATAGAGGATGAATCTTAGGTTCCCCCTAGGAAGATTCAAATGAGGTTGGTTTACCTTCTTCGTGTACCGGAAGGTCTTCTTATACCTCATGACATGCATGAAGCGATCGCAGAACACTCGGACACTTTTAGGGTGTTTATCGTTAACCACGAATCCTATCATCTCGTTACCGGGCATCTTGTTCTTCATATCTAACACACGCAAGAAATGTACATGGGCAACTTCTGAGAGGAAATTTCGAATTTCGAAATGTCTGATGGAAATTCTGAGAGTAAATTTCGGGATTCACTTCTTCGAACTCGGGTAGAAGTGTACAGAAACCAACAAAAATTTCCCGAAATTTCCTCAGAATTTTCATATTGTCACCAACACACGTAGTTGAGAACGTGCATACTTTCCCACACTGGCTTCAATGTTTACTCTCAGAAGAAGTTAATACAAAATCATCATAATTACGTGCAACTCCACGATGTTATGACCGACACCAAGGCTCACGAGTTGACGAAGGAGTGGTATCACCAACAACAACAACACGAGCGTTGCCCACATGTTCGTAAATATCCAGCAGTCTGTCTCTGCCAGTACTTATAATGCCAATTTAATGCAGCCGTTGAGCGGACAAACATGGTGAAGTAGGGGAGCTTAAGAGAACTGAATTCCTCAATGTTCTCAACGGTAAACCAACTGTTACGAAAATCATCCATCCTCACACTGAGAGGCTCCTCTGCTGCTGACCTCTAGCATCTCGACAGATTCACCAAGATCAATGATCATACAATTCGATTAGTTATACAATAGGGAGTTTCTAAAACCCAGACCTTCCCATCATTGTAGTTGAACAGTAAGTTACATTACTGATATTCTCCAACTCTCGTGACAGTAAGAACACTTAACACGATTCGAGTAAAACTTGGTAAAGACGTTACTCGATAAGAGACCTCTCCCCTCA